AGAACTGTCTGTCCGGGGTGGGGGTCGGGACACTTTAAGCACAGCCCTCGGCTAGCCTGAGACAGCGTCTCCACGCTCTAAGTCCTCCTCTGATGCCCTGCCGGCACTGCTTCCGGCCATCCTTAAGCTCTGTTCAGAGTCCACTTAATGTGGACATGCTAGTTTGAATTAGCAAAACGCTAATTCGAACTAGTTTTTAGTTCTAGACGCGTTAGTTCGAATTAGCTTAGTTCGAATTAACTAATTCGAACTAAGTTAGTTTGAATTAGCGCTGTAGTGTAGACGTACCCTTAGAGACTGCGATCAAGTCATCCCTTCACCTTCTCTCTAGGCTAAGGGGACAGCCCCTGGAGTCTCTCTCTTCAAGGCATGTTTCTAATCCTTTCATCATTCTTGTGGTCTGTCTCTAAACCAGTGGTCACCAACCAGTAGTTCAGGATCTACTAGTAGATCTTGGAGCCTCTGACAAGGGATCCTGACTGGTTTGGCCAAGAGGCTAACAAGTTCCAGCACTTCAGCTACTCCTCCTCCCACTGCTGTGCACCTCCTGCCCTTTGCCTGCAAGCTGTTCCCCTCAGGAGCCTCCTGCTTTCTGGGCAGGGCCGTGGAGGAAAAGGGAGCACTGATGTCAGGGTGCCCCCTCCCCCTCTGTATTATTTCTCCACAGAGCAGAGTGTGGGGCATAACAGGACTTGGGATGGAGTTTGCTGGCTGCTTTTGGGAGTGGTGCAGGGCCAGGGTAGGGGTGAGCCTCCCTTAGCCCCACTGCACCACCACCCAGGAGCCACCTGTGGTAAGCAGCACCTAACTGGAGCCCACATCCTGAAACCCTACCCCAGTCATGAACCCTCTCCTGAACCCCAAGCCCCTGCCCTAACCCCGAGCACCCATGTATCCAAACACCCTCCCGGAGCCTGTCCCTAAAACCCCCTCTGGCATCCAAACTGCCTGCACCACGCTCAGCTCTGAGCCCTTCTCGCACTCCAACTCCCTTAATCCAAAACCAGAGCCTGCACCTCAATCCTCTGCTCCAGCCTGGTGAAAGGGAGGGAGGATGGAGTGAGCAGGGTTGGGGCCTCAGAGAAGGGGCACAAAGGAGGTGGGACAAAGGTATTTGGGTTTGAGGTAGATCCTGGATTGCACTTAAATACAAAAAAAGTGATCTCATGCTTGAAAAGTTTGGAGACTACTGCTCTAAACTCGCTCCCATTTTTCAACATCCTTCTTGAATTGTGGACACCAGAACTAGAGGCTGTATTCCAGCAGCAGGCTCAGCAGTACCAAATACAGAGGTAAAATAACTCGCTACTCCTACTTGAGCTTCCCGTTTATGCATCCAAACCCTGTTTATGCATCTCCTGTTTATGCAGTGGCCTCTTTGGCCACATCACACTGGGGGATCACAATCAGTTGGTTATCCAACACAATCCCCAAATGTTTTTCAGAGCCACTGTTTCCAAGGATGGAGTCCCTCCTCCTGTAAGTATGGCCAGCATTCTTTCTGCCCCGATACATACATTTAGCCATATGCAATGCATTGTTTGCCGGTGCCCAGTTTGCCAAGAAATCCACATTTTTGGCCTCTTCATTATTTATCCCTCCCCCAACTTTTCTGTCATCTGCAAACTTTCAGTGATGATTTTATGTTTACTTCCAGGTCATCAGTAAAAATATTAAATAGCGTATGGCCATGGACCGCTCCCTGAGGGACCCCACTAGCAACTATTTGTTGAGGAGAACCCATTTACAATTGCACTTGGAGGCCTATCGATCAGCCAGCTTTAATGTGTGCCAGGTTACTTTTATATCAGTCTAGTTTTTTAATCAAAATGTCACGCTGCCTGATGTTCTAGCACACCCCCTATGTTCTGCTCAGTTGGCTCACCTTCTTCTCCCCGTAACAGCCTTTTTCTATTGATATTGGCGTGGGAGTCACAACAGCAGCTTCTGTCTCTCATACATGTCATTGTGGTCAGCCCAGCTGAGTCAGCCTGGAGGGAAAAGCATGAGGATCCTGGAAAGGAGTCTCCATAGCTTACTACTCCTATGGAGCAAGCAGGGAACAGCCTTTTTCCACAAGAAGCATCTTTGTTTTGTATGCCGCCTTTTGCACCTGAACGTCCGCTGTGCCTCATAACCTCACCCCCTTCTGTAAAGTCGACTGACCCCTTCTGTAAAGCAAGCTGGCCCTTCTCTGGTCAAAATACCCATACAGTAAATCAGATCTAGTTGACCGTGACTCTCCCTAAGTGCTGCATTTAACCCCACAGTTGCCCATCACTCACAATTCAGTCCCTGCTTCCCCTGTG